GCCCGCCTCGGCCTCCCAGAGTGCTAGGATTACAGGCGTGAGCCACCGTGCCCGGCTGCAATCTTTTTTTTTTTAAGAGACAAGGTCTCGCTCTATCACCCAGACTGGAGTGTAGTGACATGATCATAGCTCACTGTAGCCTTGAACTCCTGGGCTCAAGCAATCCTTCTGCCTCAGCCTCCCAAATAGCTGGTACCATAAGTATGCACCACCACGCTCAACTAATTTTTTTTTTACTTTTTTGTAGAGACAGGGTCTCACTGTGTTGCCCAGGCTGGTCTCAAGCTCCTGGCTGCAAGCAATCATCCTGCCTTGGCCTCCCAAAGTGCTGGGATTACAGGCGTGAAGCACTGCCGTGGGCCTCAAAGCAATCTTAATAAACGGGAATTACTACAATTATTTTGTGACCTTTACAAATCTTGTCAAAACATTAAAAGCACTTCTTACTGCCGGTTATTAATGTTTAGAGAAATGAAAAAATAGTAAAAATATTTATTTGGTACACTATAATTTAAAACATTAGAAACCTTGAGAATTATTTTCTTTCTTTTTTAAACACTTACCAAGAATAGTTTAAGCAGTGCTTGCTGCTTTCTTCTCAAATAACTTATAACTAAGTGAGCGTCTTTTCTGTGCCTTGGAAGGTTGTCATGATCCCTTCTAAGTTTGGATCAGCTTATCATTTGTATATTCATTAAATTTCTATTGAGTATCCACCATAGCTTTTCCAGTACTGTGCTAAGGAAAGATCATTTTAAGGGGTTTGCAGCTAATTGTATGGCTGTAACTCAAGTCTTCCCTTGGAATGTCAGCTTTGAAAGTGCCTAGTCAGATTCAAGAGCTGGCTTGGATTTCTTAGATATAAGGCATCCAAGTAGACTCTTGTGAAGGAATAATGGGAGCTACGGTAGAAATGTCCACTTGTCTACTGAGGACAGGGGAAGTCAGAACTGCTTTCATAAGCACCAGAATTATGGAAAGATTTATTTTTAAACCATGACTGTTTCCCAATCATCTCACTAATATAGAGTTTCCAAATAATTGCCAGAGGTAATTTTCATATTTTTGAGCATGATTTGAAAATAGATTAAATATCAAATTAACTAGTGAATATAATAATAAATAATGAAACATTTTTACTTTAAAAACATATTGGCTGAGCACGGTGGATCATGCCTGTAATACTAGCACTCTGGAAGGCCGAGGCAGAAGGATTGCTTGAGGCCAGTTTGACACCAGCCCCCATCTCTACAAAAAACAGAAAAATTATCTGGGTGTGGTGCGCACACCTGTAGTCCCAGCTACTCAGAAGGCTGAGGCAGGAGAATTGCTTGAGCCCAGGAGATTGAGGTTGTTGTGAGCTATGATGACACCACTGTACTCTAGCCTGGGCAACAGAGTGAGACTCTATCTCAAGAAAACAAACAACAGCAACAAAAAAACCATCTTATTCACATACCTGTGAAGAACAGTTGGTTGAGAGAAGAATTGTGGAAAAAGATGTAGAATTGTAAGGGGCTGGAAGAATCTATGCACATAGTGGAGAGAAAATGGAGAGCAGCCCCTTGTGAAAGTATAGCACTGGAAGAGAGGCATAATCCATAACCTTTAGTTTATTTTTGATCAACACACTACTGCCAACCCTCAGATTAAGGTAAGGTAAGCAGAGTCATATCACCTTTACTCATATCTTCTGATGG